GCTAAAAATATGCAGTTATCCAGAAAATAGCACTATCTATGAGATAAAAACAGCATTGACCTTTAAGTTACAGCCCGCTAACTTTTCCATGCAAGAGGATCAGTTCTGTGGACCTCAGCCTTGAACAACAGTGCACCATGTGCAGGGAAAGGTTTTTAACACTTTCCTGGAATAGCTTTGATAAGGCACAAGCCTGCAGTGTTCGGTGAGGAAAGAACAGTAAGTTCTTAATGCCTCCCTGTGTTAAAAACACGTTACTACATGGAAAGGTCCCTTTATGTAAAAGTTTGCTCCAAGAAACCGTATATGCCCGATATACATGCAGAACAGCAGCTGCCCTCTAATGGTGCAGTGCATAGACAGCACAGTACAGGCTTTCGTCAGCAGCTGGCACCAAACACTTTCTTTCATTAAACCCCAGCAGTATTTGTCATGAATAATGTATTATTCATAAAGAAGGGGTGTGTAAACACTGTGTTTGATCTACCGAGTAGCAGTTATTTTGCCAGATGTGCTTATGTAGGTAAGGATTTTGGATAGCAGCAGTCTGTGCACATACAAAGTCAGCTAGTGACATATAAAACAACGGGCAAAAGTCTCCCTCTTAATGGTAACAAATCTATATACATACTGCTTGAAGCTTTCCCTAGAAATAACAGCAAGTTAAAAACAGTGCATAATGCTGTTGAGAAAATATATTTAAAATTTTCCCCCAAATCTCTACATAATTGTTATTTATATCCCTGCTTGTATTCAGAACTATACATTTATTTCCCCATTTTAATTACAACTTCTACTCCCATAAGCCTAGAATGTCCGGTTTTACATGGAAAATATTTTGCCACATACTTTAATAGTTTCACAACTGCAGGCAAGTTGTTCTGACTGTCCATGATCATTCTGCTAAGTAGGAAAGGTGCCAATATGTAAGCATGCATCGATACATATACAATACTGGCTTTATAAGGGCTGCTCCTGTCAAGGGGGCTAATGCAGGTTTCCTGAATGGGATGAACACAAAGTATTTGCTATTGGCAAATTGTATAAAACTCTTCCTATTTCCTACTGAGCGGGGTAGAGGATATGATTTTGTTTAATTGGTTATTTTTGTTTAATATGGTTATTGACTAACGGCTAACAATACACATGGCACTGAATGCTAGACACTTGATATTTATAGTGCAACGTACACATTGTCCTCATATATTCATGGGCTGATCCCAGAGCAGCTCTTCATTAAGTTATTTTCCCAGCTGATTAAGGACTCTGTGTTCATGCTGCCTCATGACCCACTCTAGTAAACAGTGTTCACAAGAGCTCAATGCCTAGCACATCTTTTCTGTTATCTTTGCAGTACTTACAGAACAAAAGTGTTATTAGCTCTTGTACACCACTATGAAATTCCATTTTATATGTGAGACCTCTCCAGTAATCACAAAAAAAACATTTAGGTCAGTTGTTTGTTTTTAAACTGAAAACAATAGCAAGTAGCCTGGCTTATAAAATGGCTTATAATTTTCTTATCATGAAGGCAAAATATCACTTTCTGACCATCTTTTATAGCACCATTTCATTTGAATTCTCCAAATGTCATTTTGTTTCCATATCTGAAGCTCTAAAGAGGTTGGACTAGTAATTTTTCCCCTTCATCATCAGCAGACAAACAAGCTTATCATCAGTGTCCGTTATTTCAGCACATACACAACACACACCTTTCATTCATATATAATCATTAAGCATATGAAAAACAGTGGATATTTCTGAAGAAAATGGTAAAGAAACCTCTCATTTAGGCAGTTATCTATACAAGCTATATATGGTATAGATTTCCCATACATCAGTTCACTATCACCAGTTCTCCCAGACATGCTCTTATTGCTTGGAGGAGGGGGTATGCTGTGAGCAGGGGTTGTGCAGATGTGATCCAGACTTTTTTCTAGGGATGGAAGCAGGAAGAGGATGAAAAAAGGACAACTTGTGTGTAGGTGCTTATCTTGGAGTGCTTAAATACAGTGTATCTCAAGGTCATGGCCTCTCTTAAGTTATCTTTCTGTAGAACATTTCACAGAATATATTACTACATGAATATATTGTTACTGCTTTTACCTTTAGCTGCCTGGTAAAGGTAAGTACATTTTATCTTTATGCTTCTTTAGAGCCAGACCCAAAGACTCTTGTCTTGAAGTGTTTCTTAGAGTGAATTTCTGATCCTCAGAATATGCAGAAGCTGGAAATATCATTATTTTTTTAAGCAAACATAATACAAAATACAAACACAAATACAATACAAAATACAAACATATTTGCCTGAAAATGCTCAGTGTTGTTGTAAATTACAATCCGTCCACCAGAGAGAACCTCTTGCATAGAAAGAAAAATAATTTGAAAGATGAATGAAACACCTTGCTAACACTTAAATCTAGCAAGTTCTATTCAGAAATTTTTCTTTTGCTGTTTTTACAAATAGCACAGACTTACTAAGCCTGGAAAGTTTTCAGAAGTTATTTGCGAAAGGTAACGGATTTAAAAGAAAGTTTCCCTTGGTAATGATTAAATATACACTGTATATAATATTCACTACATATACCATGTATATATAATATACATGCACACAAATCACATTTATACCTCATTTTTTACAGAGAAATGCAGATTAATTTCACCACTAATACAACTAGACCAGAGTAAATGAGATTAGAAGTCCAACTGCATACCATACCTTAAGAGCCTCCGTCGCATTTAGTCACTAGGATAAGGTACTGAGCTGGTTAGCCACTATAGCATTTAGCAAGTTACTGGACATGTGACACTCTCCCCTTCCTGGCACAAATTTTTGCTAGATCTTCTGTGAAGCATGTGCCCTGCTTGGGTGAATTCAGGGTATAACAGTCAGAATATTAAAGGTATTTTAGGGTCTAAGATTTCCATAGTGATGCTAACAATGATACCGAGCTCCCCAGAAACATGGTGTTTAAATTTACTGTCCTAGAAACGTGTCTGCTTTCCAAGTTTTACTTGGGAGATCTCAGCCTCCCAGACATCTGCCTGGGACCTTTTTTTGAAACAAAAATTCCTTGCATTTTCTGAAATGCAGAGATTCATTTATTTTCTTATTTAAATAAAGGATACAGCCAGAGGCAGAGACTGCCTGGCAAGAAAACTTCTACTAAAGGAGGGAAAACGCACTGTTTCTAAAAAAAAAAAAAAAAAAAAAAAAAAACAAAACCAGAAACCCAGAGACAGATGTTTTAGAAGTGTACCCAGATCCACATGTCCCTAGATTAGGACTGTACTAGTATTGATACCAATCATTAGCACCATGGATCACTGCTCTGTCACGGAACGTGAATTTTTAAATGCAGAAGGTGCTACTGTATTATTAGGTACCTGTCTTTGGATTATAACTTTTTAAAATATATATATATATATATGCAAGGTAGTTCAATCTAGATACACCCTGGTAATAATAAAAAAAACCTTCCAAAATTACACGTGGAAAAAATGTGTATAAAGGTGATTTGATTAGAGGAAGACGCATTGGCCAGAACTTCCTTTTCACTAGTGGAATTTTACAAGCAGTTTTCAGAAATTCCCTCTAGAATACAAACAACTGGTTTCAGGTTTTTTTTCCCATTACACAGTCTGCACTAAACATAGTTAAAAATAAAAGGAACTAGAATCATGTATCAAATGAAATCAAAATCTCAATTACACAAATAGTACTTTGAAAATATAATTCTTGACTTCAAAAGCAAATCTAGAATAATTCCACTGATCTCATTAGTCTTACAATGAGATTAAAAACAAGCTAAGCTCATGGCAGGGAACAGGGCATGTTCATAGTCCTTTTTTCAAGTGAAAAGTAGTTAATCTAATGAATGACATTTGCCAGGTTTTTTAAAATACTACCTGAAAGTTTAAAGAAATGACAAAGAATTATGCATAACTTATTTTATGTGGGTCCTTTTTAAGTAAAATACCGTTCCAGTTTCACTTCCCTGACGCTTGACCACTTTAGTTGGTTCTGCTGTTTTACTTCCTCCTTTAACTTTTTAGAAATAAAAAGTCTAAGCATGTTTTGACATCAGGGGCCACAAAATACTTCCAGATTCTTTGGCCAGACACTGAGAAACACACAATTCACACAGCATTTGAATAGTTTAATGTACTAAAGCCCAATTTTCCTAACTGTTCAAGTCACAGCCAGGGGCTGGCTCACCAGCAGGACAACCTCATCAGAGGCTGTCTCCCCAGAGCAGAGCATCTCCTCCCAACCCTCTAGCCAGACTATCTGTGTGGCAGTTACTCGTCTGAAGGACTGCGCTTTCCCAGAACATGGAAACACATCCCCCACCCAATTCTGCTAAATCAGGACAATCTGAGAATTGCACAAACACCAATTTCCTCTAAACCGGGGTATTTCTAAGGCAAATTCAAGATCAACTGTTTTCTGATTAATTTAAAAGATGACATAAGGCACAATGTGCAATAATTCTTCATGCTTTAGGTTACAATTTCTTATATTAAATATACAATGGACATTTGCCAACCTTTTGATTATTTTCCCTTTTGTAAATTGAAACACTGAGCTATTCATATGAACAGTGATAGAACAGCATAAATAGGATTTCTTTCTCACTGTGGTTTTTGATTAGGCCAGTAACTCTAAGCGGCAAACATTAAAATAAGGATTCTTTTGAAACACCACTTACGTGCTTTAAAATCTGTTGGAGAAGGATAGATGTGACTAAGAGCAAGCGAGGCGCTACACACTATTTTTACTTTTGCTTTGCCTGCAAGAACACATACTATCTTCCTGAACAGCAGGAAGTACCATACGTGGTTAGATCATTGTAAGAGGGAACTATAGGATGTGAGCTCATATGACAGCCTCCAGAACATCAGTTGTGATCTGACTTTGCACCTACCAGTCCAAGGGACATTCTCTGAGCTAACTCACCCGTTTGGAAAAATAAGCCAGTGCCACACACAGCGGATATTAACATCCCAAAAGAACCGAAGAATTTCCAGGATGACTCATACTGTGGAAAACAGTAGCCACTTAACATGGAACATTGAGAGGTCAGTAGTCTGCGTAATACTGAGCTTGTCATTTGTTATTGGGACCCCTGGAAACTGCATTGTCATCTGGACTGTTTGCACAAAAATGAAGCAAATACCTCCTTCAGTCCTGCTGATCTTGAACCTGGCCATTGCAGACATTCTAGTACTGATTACTCTGCCAATCTGGATTTACTCCTTTGCCGACTCCTGGGTTTTTGGAACCACCTTCTGCAAAATACTGGTTTTTGTAATTTACTGCAGCATGTATGCTAGCATATTTCTGATTACTGCGCTGAGTTTGGAGAGATTGATGGCTGTGTTTTACCCATTCACAATTCAGAGATATAAGACAAAAGAAAAGATTTTTGTCATCATGTTCCTTATTTGGTTCCTCTCTATTACTTTTGGAGTTTCTGTCATTCCATTTCAAGAGACAGAAGAATTGGGTGGTGGACTACAATGCACATGTCGCAACTATTCTTCTAATAGACAGAAAGTATCCTATCTTTTGCTAGAGACTCTTGCAGGTTTTGTAATTCCTTTTTTTATAATTTGCACTTGTTATGTGTGTGTTGTAAAGAGAATAAGCAAAATGACTTACCAATCAAAGCGTCGATCAGAATGGTTAATTGCCAGTGTGGTTGTAGCGTTCATTTTGTGTTGGCTCCCACATCATCTCTTCAACATCCTAGAGATTATTTCAGTACAGATAGAAAACTCTAACAAAGAAATGTCTTTGGCACTGGATGAAGTTTTAAACCTAGGCGTGTACATCTCTGGAGCACTCGTATTCATCAGTAGCTGTATTAACCCTCTGCTTTATGCCTTTGCTGCACGAAAATTCCAGAACCATCTGAGATTTGCCAAGATATCAAAGCTGTTTGAGCAGATAAGTCAGACCGTAACTGAAGATGACAAGAAAAAGAACTCTGTTGTAATCCAGCAAGAAAGTACTGCAAGAAGCACAGAGACTCTTTAACATGGATCGTATACCAAGTAAATAATGGGATTGTGGGGCATTCCTCCAGCAACCCTTTCATCTCATGTTCCCAGTTTTCCTTCCTAAAAATGTGCACAGAAAATCAAGGAATAGTCTGTCTACTCCAGATGAAGCTAAACAGGTAAAAGCAAAAGCCATTAGGATGTGTTTTCTGTATTAAAAAGAATGTACAGGAACAATCAAATTCAGTTCCTTCTCACAATATTATCACTGTTTGAATTCTCTCAAGAACTTCAGCAAGGTAACAGAAGCCAAAAACAGGAGGACTACAATTTTACTTTCCATCAAGATTGCAATTTCTAGAAAAAAGTTTTGTGGCAAACAAACTTTGTTGGTAAAAAGAATAAAACACAAAGTTTTGCTAAAAGAAAACTTTTAATTCTTCTGTATAACCTGAAGTTTTAAGTATGCAAGCTCCTGATACGGATAGGAATGTTTAAGTATATTAATTATGCATGAAACTTTATAGATTGATAAAAAAAGCTATTCTTATTCGAGACTTTATTTAGGCCGGTTTAAAAGTAACAAGGACTGTTTGTATGAAATACACATACTACAATCATTCTCAAACAGTTTGATATGAGTTAACTTCGCAGAATACCTGTTAAATTGCAGAATAATTGGACCAGGCCCTAAGCGGGGAGGGAAGAAAGAACCTCATTATTTTTTACTCACAAGAAGACTATGCCAGCAGTACAGAGTGCTTATCATCTTGAGAAACACAATTTGTAAGAAAAGAAGTTTTTTGGACAAGATTTTTTTCTTTTTATATAGAGGAGAATGGACTTCATCTTTAAGAAAGCAGTAAATTTTGGACCTACAAGGAATTTGTTTTTATTTCTGTGAACATGTACAAGTCGAGAAAAGAAACTGTGTAGCCTGCATAAGTGTTTTCTTTGGAAGCTTAAGTTGTGCCTAAGACTTTAAATTTCCCTTTGTTTACTTTATGCCAATGACTTGTAATGATAAGATTAAGATAACTACTGATTACTAAGAAATGTATCACAATGTTCTGTATCTTGTGTTCTGGACAGCTGCATACTAGCTACGTAGCTTATCCTTACAAAGAAACTGCAAAAGACTAACTAGATCTTCCTTGTCAGGAGTTGTTTTTGTAGCAGCCAGAGATATTTGAGTGCTATTAATTTGATACTGCAAACCAAAATAAACACAGGGAAGATAACGCCTTACATGTTAGTGTGCGAGCATTTTTCTGAATTTAGCATATGAAGTTGCTATTCCTGTTTGGTTTGGGAAAAAAATGCATTTTTTCTTCTCAAAAACAAACAAAAAAAGGCTGCATTTTAAAGAAATTTCACTCCATAGGTCTCTCACCAAAATAAAAGGAAAACTAGAGCCAGAACTTTAGCAAGAACTTCTATTTGCAACAAAGAAAAAGATTAAATCCCTTAGGCTTTACCCCACCTACCACTCTTCACCTTGCTGAGTCCTTAGTTATTAACATACTGGATATTTTTATAATCATTTCTTAGCGTGTACTAATTTCTCATCCGAAAGGCAGCAACTTTTAACTGCTGCTTCAAACAGAGAAGCTGTACTTCTCTATAGAGTCTTGAGATAGGAATCACTGCTTGGTAACAGTGACTCTTTATCTGCCTATTTCAATGTTTGCAAGAATTACGCCATTTGCTCAGGAGAAAGGCAACACCAGTTGTTAAGGCTGCTGTTTTAGGATGTTTCACCACTCCTCAAAACAGTGAGCAGAGTAGATGCAGTTTTAATAAGCACTTGAGCAATGCAACTGAAGTAGAGTTGTAGGCCGCGAAGAACCAAGTACTTCACAGGTAGTGCTTTTGGAAAAGACTCAAACACGTAGTACAAGCTAAACCAGAGGTTTCCCTTCCATGAGGCTGTACCCTATACCCAGCTGTGCTCGATCTTCTTACTAGAAATTGGGATAAACCATTAACCATCTGTGCGCGTGCATCTCAAATGAGGCAAGCACCTCTTGTGCTCTTTGCTATTCAACAAGCTCTTTGAGACCACTGAGTGCATGTGAAGGGCCTTTTGTGGGACCCAGAAGAAACTATGAAGAGATGGGTGACCACATATAAAGCCAGTAAAATACTGCCTGCCACAGTGATCTTGCTGCTGTTTTATATTGATAAGTATGGGGTTGTCATTCATTTACAGATGAATCAACTTTGCTGGTGAGGCTGCTTCTTACACAACATCTGAGAATATTAAAAAGGAACCAGGGAAGTTCTAAATCTTTAAATACGGTCTAGGAAATAATGATTAGGGCTGTTCTGGATTGAAACCTACTGTTCACAGGATTCAGAATCATTTACTAACAGGAGCTACTATTACACTGAAGATATAGCATTTAGTAGAAGCATAAACTGAACAATGAGATTTTTTTTTAACATGGTCAACAGCCAGAAAAGCAGCACAAAAACAGCTTATATTTTTCATCTGTGCTTTGACTGAAGGCCTCAATATTTAGGCCTCATATTTTCTTCCATTGCTTTTTACTCACAACTGCAATATGGAGTATTGCACATGTGGTCCCCCTGGGGACCACAAGAAAACTGTCCTAATTTTTGCATTCATATTTATTAATATGAATACAAGGCAGCTTCAAAAGTTTGTTAGCTTTAAGAACTTTGTTGACTCTTTTTAGGAATAGTAAAATATCTTAAACCAGCAGACAACTGATGTTGCCTTTCTCCAGAGGAAATGGCGTAATCCTTGCAAACATTCACATGGGCAGATCGAGAGTCACCCTCTTAATATTTTGGAAGCACAGGTGGCTGTGATGTAACTGGGTGCAGAAGAGTCAATGCAGAAGTACAAGCTTACGGCACTGCTGACTGCTTCTTTCTTCAACAGAAGTGCATCAGGCTGGTCAGTACAGCAAGATTAACAGCTTCATCTCTGCTAATGTGCTCTGTAGGAGAACTACAGGGATTCAGTAGGTCCATTCAGAAGTGGACGGTGAATATGCATGATATATCCTAAAATACCTAATCCCCAACTTAATCTTATAACCTAACAGCCAGCACAATTTTTATCCAAAACACTGCATCTTGTGATGTAGTTCCTGGTGATTACAACACATATCCTTCCTATAGGCTGCATAAGAAAGATGATAAAAAGCAGAGATTATTTAAGCTAGTTTCAAAGCAGCAAGTTTGAGGCAAGAAGAATCTTATTAATAAATTATTGAGATAGACCCGTCTGATTCCATCTCGGGGGGGGGAAGGGGAGGGAAGAAGAGAGAAATTGGAGTTATTTATTTTTTCTCCTTATTCTTTGGTCCTTGTTTACCACTGTATGAAATCTGTGGTTCAGTGTCCAGCTATTCTCATGACACAGCAGGGAAGCAGGGTGACCTGAGGGCTGTAGTGGTCACCTAAGTCACCTCAGATCACACTGAAGTGCAGGGAACATTATGTGGCATTAGTGCAACACCACCTAGAACACCATGTCCTGAGAGCTTACCAAAATGCCAGATATTTTGAATCTCTTATTCAAGTAATAAACTAATATTGAAGTCCTATCCAGCCCAAGACTTGCTGTAAATATTTATGAATATACGTTAAGTACTTATCACATATATATTGTTGCAGCATCTTGCTGCATAAGGGAATTTATGCTGTATAAGTGCTGTATTCACGGAATTTAAGGAGAGTCTAAACTATTTTGTTTCTCATAGCAATATTCAAGCATAAAAAGAAATAGCGAAGATTACTAGTGTCTACAAGTCTTACGATTTTTGCTGCCTTTTGGCTTGAAAGCTTTTTTGCTAACACCATGCGAAAAGTTATTAGAAGTATGGATTAGTATAAAATTGGGGATACTTAGAGATAACTCAATTTAAGGAATTACAAAAAGGATCTTTATGATTTTGTATTAAGCGGTAATAGGAGTGCTGCTAATTGGAAGGCAGAATAAGGGCAATTGGATTATAGTAAAGAAAATATGTGTTCTGTAATGTCATTGGCAGAATTTTATCCAGAAAGAAGCATGACAGGTATTAAGAGCAGTTTGAAAGACTGCTGAAAAAAACAGTTTAAAATCCCATTAGGATTAGTAATTACTTGGCAGAACTAAGAGGAAGAATTGTAGGTACAATTTGATCAAAAGGAGTAAAAGATCTGGAGACTACTGGATCTGGTGGCATGGTGAGTGTTTCAATATGCAAATTCTCAGTCAGATTGCGTGGTAATTAACATGAACATCAGGTGATAGCTTGCAAAACTGCAGACAGCTAAATGCTTGGTGTATTTCTGAGCAAAGGCAGCTTCAGTCAGTACGGTAGCTCTGTCCTGAGCATTGCACTGAGTCAGTACTTTTGCTTCCATGCTTCAGAGGGCTCAAAAGGTCTGTATTTCTGTGATAAACACTCAGCACTCTCCAAGAGGCTGCAACAACTGCTTTCTTCTGTAGGCAGCATCTTGGTTGTACTCTGCCCCCATCATTCCCTCAGGTAACTAGGCAAGACTAACTGCACTACTGGGGAGGACGCAAGCAATGCTTCCGATGTTTGGATCTGCCCCGTTTCACCTTCTAGCAAGAGCACAATCCATTCTGATCCAAAATGCTTCCTTGAAAAGGTACCTAATCAGAATATTACCAACAACTCATTTTCCTTAGAATTTATATGCTACAACTGTAATATTATTCCCTCTCCTTCATGTACAAGGAGAGAAAAGTCAGAGGACTTATATATTTGTTTAGAGAAAGCAGGAATAAGTCAGTTCTGATTATAAAGAAAAACACAGTCTCAGAATGAAAGTAGGAAGTTCAACTTGGATGCTAAGTTCAAAGAGCAGACAGGGAAGTAGATTTTATGTTTTGTTGCAAAACAAACAGTTTTAAAAATATATTATGTTGGATCAGTTAGTCACTTTTCAGTGAATAACTGCTCTTGATTTTCCTCACTTTAAGCTCTACTATTCATTAGGATATTAAATAAAAGAATCCCGATGAAATACATTGGGAGCCAGCATTATCTCTCCTGATAGCCTGAGCAGCTTATGCTGCTCCTTTAAGGAGG